TCAGGGCTGTTTGCATTGTCAGTCCTATAAGATGGATTTTTTTTTTCTTTTGAGAAGTGTGGCAACTCAGGATGGATGGAATCACAAGAACCACAGATCCTGTGGCTAGTGGTTTTAAGCACTTATCAAAGCATAGCCTTGAATGAGGTGGAGAACATTTTACTCATGACATTCTCCTCAGTGGGATGACTCCTTCTGTTCTGAAGATATTCTCTGTTAAGCTGCTTGGCGTGGTGTACGAGGGAGAGCTCAAGGCAGGCCTGATGTGCCTGAGACAACCAAGGGAAATTTGTCCTGCTAGGGAGGTGGAGCTGTGGGACTAGGAAGCTAGGCAGGGCCATGTCCCTCAGGATGCGTCCCCTCCTTGTGACCCCAGTCCCAATTATTTAATGGGTTTGACAAAGACACAGAATGCAGATATGCATGGAGTTCTTCTGCAGACTGCTGAAGGGGCCAAGTTCTGGGAAAAGAGAGCGAAACTTCCAAGAACGCACAAGTCCCAAGTGCAAAGGAGACGGTAGAAATAGAAGACCCAGGAACCAGGGGCAACGCTTGGCATTTCCCAAGCATAGAGTCTGCTGGCATCCAAGTTCATTTTACCTTGCTCTTCAGGGGAAAGGAGACTCCTGGGTATCTATCATATATATGGGCTGTCAGAGCGCTGTACACCCAAATAACATCACACACCCTTCTGCCTGAATACCAAAGCTCAGCACTAACACTCAAGCCACGGTAAGGAAAATGGGACAGTGTCCCCATGTAGCCAGGGCAAGCACATGACCATGTCATCGTTGCAGTGGCTCCCCCTTATCAGCTGGATCAAAACGTGGGGCTCCTATTGCCGGGAACCACAAAAGCAGCCTGCAAGTGTGGGTGCTTCTTCCTTGTCTGAATCTCTGGACGGCGAGGCGTGCTTCAGAAAGACCTGCTTCAGCAATTTTCCCTTATCTCCTACAAGTCTATTCCTATTCACATGTAAACCTGCTCTTGTAGCAAATGAATAGGAAAACCTTCTCTTGCCCCCAGCTACTGCCATTTCTTCTGCTCCTATTCATGTATGAGTAAAATTTCTTGGAAGTTGGTTATAGCTGATGTAGCTACAGGCTGGCCAGCTTTGACCTACTCTACCTATACCTCCACCCCCACTTGTCCATGGGAAGGGCCCTTGTCAAGTCATTTGTGACTTTTGGGTTCCCAAGCCAATGGCTGCTCTTGTTCTCATCTGGTTGGATCTCTCAGATCCCACTCTCAGCAGATCCCACTCTCAGCAGATCCCACTCTCAGCGGGTCCCACTCTCAGCAGATCCCACTCTCAGCAGATCCCACTCTCAGCGGGTCCCACTCTCAGCAGATCCCACTCTCAGCAGATCCCGCTCTCAGCGGAGCTGATTCTCAGCGGGTCCCACTCTCAGCAGGTCCCACTCTCAGCAGATCCCACTCTCAGCAGATCCCACTCTCAGCGGAGCCGATTCTCAGCGGGTCCCACTCTCAGCAGGTCCCACTCTCAGCAGATCCCACGTTCAGCAGATCCCACTCTCAGCGGGTCCCACTCTTAGTGGGTCCAAATCTCAGTGAGTCCCACTCAGCAGGTCCCACTCTCAGCGGGTCCCACTCTCAGCGGGTCCAAATCTCAGTGAGTCCCACTCAGCAGGTCCCACTCTCAGCGGATCTCACTCTCAGCAGATTCCACTCTCAGCGGAGTCCCCTCTCAGCGGGTTCGTCTTACACAGCTGATTCTTCCCTCTTCTTTCCAACACTTTTTCTCGCCTCACTTTTGCTTTCCCTTTTCCTTCACAGACCCTTTCGACAACTCTAGATCCCTAGTGCAGGAGTGTCCTAGGATCAATCCTGCCAGCCTGCTCTCCCTTGTCTAGACCCCTGACTTCCCATCCTATCCAAATGCTGATGACCTGCAATTGTACAACTTGATATTTCCACTGAGATGTCTAACGGGAATCTCAGATTTAAGATGTCCAAATTGAACTCCTTTCTGTGAATCTCACCCTCCACATCCATTTCCGTGTTACCACGACTCACCCAGAAGCTCCAACCAAAAATCTAGGTGTCATCTCTACCTCCACCCTTTCCTTCTCACACCAACCATGTCAAACCCAACTGCATGCTGGATTTGATGCTAACTTTATTTTTGAGAGGGAGTCTCATTCTGTTGCCCAGGCTGGAGTGCAGTGGGGCGATCTCAGTTCACTGTAACCTCTACCTCCCAGGTTTAAGTGATTCTCCTGCCTCAGCCTTCCTAGTAGCTGGGATTATAGACGTGCACCACCACAACAGGCTAATTTTTTCTTTTTTTCTTTTTTTTGTATTTTTAGTAGAGACAGGGTTTTACCATGTTGGCCAGGCTGGTCTCAAACTCCTGACCTCAGGTGATCCACCCTCCTCAGCCTCCCAAAGCGTTGGGATTACAAGCATGAGCCACCGCACCTGGCCTGACGCTACCTTTAAATTGTGGTTTGAATCCATCTGCTTCTCTCCACCTCCAGCATTACCTTAGACCAGGCCACCATGACCATTTTTATAATTAGATCACCTCCAGTAAACCTTTCACTAACTACCCAGTCTCACGTAGTCCTTCTGGCATGACCAAGACCTTCTGTTTTAGGCTCGCCATTGAACTTACTGCTATTTTTACTTGGGGTTTTTTGGTATGTTTTATATTTATTTATTGTCCCCCCACCATACCCAAATAAGACAGGTGTGGCACAAGGTTAGCCTGTTACTTGTTTGTTCATCAGCTGTCCCTAGGCCCTCACAGAATGCAGGCACTAAAGCGTCACCTGAATGAGGTGAAGGAATGAATGAAAATACCACATAGTTAAGGCAGATGCTCACGATTAAAAATTACAAACGCCTGCCCTCCCCTTTTCCACTCTGTCTAAGGAATTAAAAGAAGAGGTGTCCCTAGGACATAGAAGCCCCCAAGGTCAAGTTCAGTGCTCTCATGTCTGGGTTGTCTTTGAGGCCACAGATTCGCCACTGCACCAGTGCTTTTTATTTAAAAATTTTCTTTTTTCTGAGATGGAGTCTCGCTCTGTCACCCAGGCTGGAGTGCAGTGGTGCGACCTTGGCTCACTGCAACCTCCACCTCCCGAGTTCAAGCAATTCTCTTGCCTCAGCCTCCTGAGTAGCTGGGATTACAGGCACGTGCCACCACGCCCAGCTAATTTTTTTTTATTTTTAGTAGAGATGGGGTTTCACCATGTTGACCGTGCTGGTCTCGAACTCTTAACCTCAAGTGATTTGCTGCACCAATGCTTTTTAAAAATGGGGATATTGGCTGGGTGGAGTGGCTCATACCTGTAATCCCACACTCTGGGAGGCTGAGGCAGGAGGATCGCTTGAGCCCAGGAGTTCAAGACCAGCCTAGGTAACGTAGTGAGACCCCGTCTCTAAAAAAAAAACCAGAAGATTAGCCAGGTGTGGTGCACATCACATCTGTTGTCTCAGCTACTTGGAAGGCTGAGGCGGGCGGACTGCTTGAGCCCAAGAGCTAAAGGCTGCAGTGAGCTGAGATTGCTCCACCACACTCCAGCCTGGGGGCAGAGCGAGACTCTGTCCATAAAATAAAATAAATAAAACATAAAAATGGGGATGTTACTCGAGGGTAGTGTTTAAAAGCATGGGCCTTGATGTCACTTTCCAGGTTCATACCTGCTATAGGATCTTAGCCTCAATGTGCCTCAGTTTCCTCACCTGCAAAGTGGACATAAGTACTTACCCTCAAAGGACTGTGCAGAGGATTCTAAATTACTGTGAAATACAGAGCAGCAGCTGGTTCAGGAATTGCTCCCCCGTCTTTCTTCTTAGGAAAACTAGGGCTGGTAATTCCTTGCAGGCTTTTACCATCTCTGCTGCCACTCTGGACTTCCCGACATTGCCAAATTTCGGCCAACGTCTCAGCTGGTTATGACAGAAGGGTCACCACCTCCACGCTGAAAGTGGCAACTGCAGGGCCACAACCTAGTGAATTCTCCCAGTGTCCTAAAAATGGCACCCTTCTAACTCACCAGGCGTCAGAGAGAATTAAACCAAGTCCTCAAATCCACAGAGAATATCAGCATCTGCTTGAACAAAACCAAACCAAATACTTTTCATCTTGCAGTGAAATCTGCTGCCTCAAAATGGTTCATCTGAAATCACCTGCTAAGGAGAAATGATGGTTTGGGGTTAATAATAGCCAACATGATTTTTGCCAGTTAAAACAATTCACAGACACCTTGGCTTTGGGAGCAAGGCTAGATGGATGGAGTTCTTGTGTTAGAGCATATTCACCATGGAATTCAGTATTGACATTCTCTAAGAGAATGCAATCAGTAAATCAATTTGGTTGGGAAAAAAACTGACCCAGGACTTTCTGAATAAAGGTAGGCTCAATCAACTTGTGTAGTACTAACAGCTAGAAAAATAATATTCATGAAGATGGAAAATACAATAAAAGTAGCAAGGCCCTAGGGTATATAAAATCAAATTATAGTGTATCATGAAGTTGTACTGATTCTGATGGCTAAATGCCCCCAGCTATACGTATTCCCATGGAGACTACCTTGTTCAAAGGAACAAATTGGAACTGTTTTAAACAGTAAAGAGGCATTATATAACCAAGACAATTCTGAGATTTCAAATATGTTTTCCTTCTGCCTGGTTTTTCCACATTCCACATTCAGGGGTCAGACTGGCTGATGCACTAGCAACCCAGCTTTCAACAGAAATATGCAGGTTCCATTGATTAGATGCTCAAGAATGATAACTTCTAAGGAATTTTTATATATTCAGTATGTCGTACTAAATAGATGAAAAGAGTTAAAACCCTACATTACTGTCTGTCTTCAAAATTCTCACTGGGGGAAAAAAAACCCTCAAAAACTCAAACTCCACAATTAACCCAATTCAGAATTTTAAATGAGGCATGTATGAAGCAAACTCAGCGCTGGAGAATGTTCTCTGAATCTGAGGAGAAATAACATTTACACTTAGAACAGAGGCATGTTTGAAACCTTTTATTAAACAGGCAATGCATTGTGCAGTGGTTAAAGACACAGATGCCTAGTGGAAAAGTTTAAAAATTATTTTTGGAAACAGTCTATGAATTGATGAACCCTGCCATGTTCCTTCATCTCCTTCTCAGAGTGGCTGCCTTTAGGAAAACAGATTGTTTTATAGCTGCTCTTGGAAACGGCATCTCTGTTTTGCCATGAATGTCATGCCTCGTAGTAAACATGAGAGAAGACAGGATCCACAGGCAAGACAGCGACCAGAGACATGGGCTGATGTCAGCTGGAAGCACAGATGTCCCTTCTCCTAGAAGGGCTTCTCTTCTGGCCTTTGCTGGGTGTCCTACTTACGCGTCCAACTTCATTTCTGTTTTCTTTCTTGTCTGAGGCTTCTTCATCAAGGGAATTCTAAAAGACACACGTACCTTTGGGCACAGGAACTGGTTCCTGGATCTTTCAGTGTTGTTCTTGTTTCTGGGTCCTCTGGCCCAGGAGTATGGCTGTGTGTTGATCCTCTTTGTTTTGCCTGGTTCCTTCCTCTTCCCCAAGTTCGTCATAACTTGATGATAAAATCAATCTTTAAGTTTCACGGTCTGTTTGCCACAATATACTGGCAGTTTTTTAACTAAGTGGCTTGTCAGGGTAGTGGACATGCTTTATCAGCACACTGCCCACCTATTTTATAATCTGGGGCATGTCACTCCAGGCTTGAGATTTCTTTCTGGCAAGTTCCATCCAGGATGGCTGATCTGTACTGGCATAACTGGCTCTCTTCAGCTGATGCAATTCCTTCTCCATCATCACTGCAGACTGAGCTGCTTGGAAGGGAGACAAAACAAACAGAAACATGAGCAGCGACTTCGGATTTTCCCTTAAGCCTCTTGCGTTTCTTGAAATAGACATCGAGGTCTTACTGTGTTCTCGAACAGAAAATTCAATAATATGTGAACATGCAAGGAAGATTTGGGCCTAGAATATGTCATTTATGTGATAAAAAGACTTACGAACAAGTTCAAACAATTCTGGCAATGCAATGAGGTGACAGAGACTTTGGAAATAAAATGGCAGGAGCTCTACAGATGGGCTGCACAACAGTGTCCGTCTACTTAACACTACTGAACTGTTCACTTAGAAATGGCTAAGATGGTAAATTCTGTCATGTGCCTTTACCACAATTAAAAATATATAAAAATTTCCATATATATGCATTTTTGTGTATATATATGTGTATTTGTGTATATATATGTATGTATGTGTGTATATATATGTATTTTTTGAGACAGAAGTCTTGCTGTGTTACCCAGGCTGGAGTGCAGTGGTGCAATCTCGGTTCACTGCAATCTCTGCCTCCCGGGTTCAAGAGATTCTCCTGCCTCAGTTTCCCAAGTAGCTGGGATTACAGACATGCACCACCATGCCTGTCTAATTTTTTTATTTTTAGTAGAGATGGGGTTTTGCATGTTGGTCAGGCTGGTCTTGAACTCATGACCTCAGGTGATCCGCCCGACTCGGCCTCCCAAAGTGCTGGGATTATAGGTGTAAGCCAAGGCGTCTGGCCTAAAAATTTTTAAATATCGATACATGCAACAACAAAGGCATATCTTGAAGATGCTATGTTCAGTGAAAGATGCCAGATAAAAAAGGGCACATACGTTAGGATTCCATTCATTAGAAATGTCCACAAAAGGCAAATCCATAGAGACAGAGTAGATTAGTGGTTGCCTAGAGCTAGGAGTGGGAGTGGGACGTGACTGTAAATGGGCATGAGGTTTCTCTTTAGTGTGAGGGAAATATTGTAAAATTAGATTGTCATCATAGCTGTGCGACTCTGCAAATACATACCTGCTCACTGTCAATATACAGTCATCCCCTGGTGTATGCCGGGGATTGGTTCTAGGACCTCTCCCACCTGCATACACCAAAATCTATGAATACTCAAGTTCTGCAGTCAGCCCCGTGGAACCCGCATATGCAAAAAGATGGCCCTCTGTTTTCTCAGGTTTCACATCCTAAGGATACAGGTAATTTTCCATCTGGGTTTGGCTGGAAAACACTCAGCATTTAAGCAGACCTGTACAGTTCAAACTTGTGTGTTCAAGGGTCAACCTTATACTTAATGAACTGTACACTTAAAATGGATGAGTTTTATGACATGTAAATTATATCTCTGTAAGAGCTGAGTAGAAAACTCAAGGTGGCAAGTAATTCGCAAAAACCAAACCAAACCAAAACCCGAACTGCAGGAACGACCCAGGAAAATGATTTCAAAGTATGTGGTCATGTTTGCAGATTTCATACCCAAATTCTGATGGGACAAAGAGATTCCTCTTTGCAGCCCCTCCTTGAGGTTGAGCTTTGCCCCCTGCTTCCGGTCCACAGCGGGCTTCACAGGGGTTATCAGGAAAGACTTGCTGCGGACAAAGTCAGCTTGCTTCACAGGCTCCTGTTGGGACACAAGACACACGCTGCCAAGTCACCAGTGATTCAGACAGGGGCAAACACACCCGAAGTGAAGGAGCTGCAAGGCTGCCCGTCCAAGATGCCTGCACTGCTGGCACTTTCTTGGGAGGGCACCCTAGTGTCAGCTCACTAACACTGAGTGGTCAGATGCTGGTGCTCAGACCAGCACGCGGCCTTATCCTGGCACACGCATGCATCACGGCTTCCTTCCTGTCCCCACACCTGGCTTCAGGGCCAGATGGCAGATGGCAGGGATCCCATTTGGCAGTGAAGATGATTTGTTTAGAATCGATTTCTGATTTTTATGACAGTTGGTATAGTTACAGATGTCCCAAACTGGTTACTACTTGTTTTCTAAATGCCCCATGCCTGCATGAGGGTCTTCGAGTCTGGGTATAGTGGAGGTTCTAGTTAAAACGAGGGGAAGCAGGTCCTACTGCAGGCTCAGGCTCTCTTCCCCACATGGCTGAAACACACAGATTTATCATGGTGCTATTGGGGGATACAAAAATTGCGAGTCTCGGCCTGATTCTAGGCATAGTTGTTTGGGCTGGTGAAAGCTGCCTTCGGTTCAGAGTGCAAAATGAAACCACAGGTTCCAGCCCCGCAGCCCCAGGTGAGGAATGAGGAGCTCCAGCATGTGGCCGGTGGAGCAGCAAAGAGCAAGGCTCACTCCTCACAGCATGATGAGCTGGGATGGAGCTGTTGACATCATTGCTGTGTGTCTAACTCAGAAGTTATTTTAACCTCCTTCCATTTTTCTAGATGCTGAGCTGCTGCGTTGCCAAGGAGGCAGGGAGTAGAGAGCTGTCTGCACCGCCGAAGTGACTCACGTGCTTCTCTGTATCGCAACAGCTCAGCATGTGCAAAGGCAGGCAGAATGCTCCACCATGGAGGTTAGGATTTGGCAAGCCATTTATTTCGCTTCATTGGCCCTCGACCACACATCCACAAGCATCACAGGTGACGGTCCCTGTGACACCCATGCAGGACATGTGGTCCTTATGGGGTCCTCGCCCCAGTCCCAGCTGGCTGCTCCCTCCTGCACCCACAGAATGGAAAGCATCTGCTCTAAGCAACGAGGCTCTCTCGGGCACCTTGGCTTGCTTTCCTGGTTCAGACTTCAGGGTCCGTGTCCCAGGTTTGTCTTCCTGGTTGGGTGGCTGGTCCAAGGTCCCTCGCCGCTTCTGCCGAGTGACGGTGATCCAGGGTGGCACAGGCTGCCCATCAGCTCCAGGCCCTGTGGCTGCAGGCGGCAGACCCTTTTCTGTTGGGTAAAGGCACAAGATTATAGAAACAGTCCTGTTCCCTCTTCAGTTTCACGCTTTGTGTCTCCCGCACAGAGAACACTACTGCTTTGGTTCGGGGTTGCAGGGAGTCTGGGAGAGCATTACTTTCTTTAGGGGACTTTGTTTTCTTGTTAAAGATGCATCAGAGAGATTATGCTCCTCTAGTCTGAGTCACAAAAAATTAAATGCAACTGCTTCTATAGGGTCTGCGTGTACTTAAGCCAACTTCCTCCTAGGAATCCTTTCTGGAAGGAGATAAAAATAAGTACACAAATAGATATAATTTCTTTAATATAATCCTGTCATTGTGGGCATACTACCCGATTCCTGCTCAAATGTTGTAGACGCACTATTAACCTCTTGTCTTCTAACAACTGTGAGCATAACCTTCCCTTTGTGGAGAGAGTGACACCAAAGACTGGTCACAGTTGCTTTCCTTAATGTTCTAGAGAGAAAAGAAATAGTGCCTTTGAAACCATATGTTGGCCAGGTGCGGTGGCTCATACCTGTAATCCCAACACTCTGGGAGGCCAAGGCGGGTGGATCACCTGAGGTCAGGAGTTCCAGACCAACTTGGTCAACATGGCAGAATCCCATCTCTACTAAAAATGCAAAAATCAGCCGGGCGTGGTGGCAGGTGCCTGTAGTCCCACCTACTTGGGAGACTGTGGCAGGACAATCGCTTGAACTTGGGGGGTGGAGGCTGCAGTGAGCCAAGATCACGCCACTGCACTGCAGCCTGGACAAGAGTGAGACTTTGTCTCAAATACAAAAATAAAACTAAAAAAGACACCATATGTTTTGTTGACTCTCCTTCCGTATTAACTGTGCTTATCTTTGGGTGGTGAAACTGTGGATCATTCCCCTCCTCTTACATTTCAACTCTTCTGTATTTTCATATTTTCTACAATAAGAATTTATTACCTTCATCAATAGAAAAAGGAAATCTGTGGATTAAATAAGTGGCTTTTCTTTTTTTTTTTTTTTTTTGAGACAGGGTCTCACTCTGACACTCAGGCTGAAGTACAGTGGTGCGATCAAGGCTCACTGCAAACTCCACCTACCAGGCTCCAGTGATCCTCCCACCTTGGCCTCCTCAGCAGCTGGGACTACAGTCATGCACCATCACGCCCAGTGAATTTTTTGTAGAGATGGGGTCTCACCATGTTGCCCAGGCTGGTCTCGAATTCCTGAGCTCAAACAATTCGCCTGCCTCAGTTTCCCAAAGTGCTGGAATTACAGGCTTGAGCCACCTCCCTTGGCCAATAAGTGGCTTCTTACAAGTACATCAAAAGCATAGAACCCAACGTTCCCCATGAGCTTCTGGATGTTTGCCTGCCACGGGATAAAACAAAGGCTGAAACTGATCTCCAACCACCTGGCACCTCTCCTCGGTTCCCTTCTACAGTGCGCCTGAGTCAGCTGGGTGACAACAGCACCGTTTCACAGCAACACATGCAGATGTCCGGGAGGAGTTAACGTCACTGTTCTCTGTGGCCTGATGTATTCCACCCCTTGCTCTGGCGTGCAGAGGCTATTACTCACTTTGTCTTTGTTTCTACTTCCAGTTCAGGCTGGAATTCTTTTCCCTTCGTGCCCTAGTCAACAAGGAGGTACAAGGAGGGGTGGCCACTGCTTTGCAAGCTACAGTCTCCTGCTGGGAGCGAGAAGAGCCTTCAGCCTCACACACCCAGGATCTCCCCTGGCCCTGGCAGCCAGGGACGGCTCCCACTCCTTTTCCTGGCTGCCCCCTGGGAATGCTGCTCCAGCTCTTGGACTCATCCTGCCCCTTTCCTGACTCTTCAGTCTCTCCCTCTGCAGCTTTGCAGAGTGCTTTGGTCTTCCATAGCTTGAAGTCTCCACGGAGCCTCACTGTCCCCTGAAGGCCCAGTTCTCCCTTCTCCTCTCCCCTTAGCTCAAATGGCCTCTGCCTATGTCTCGTCAGCCACTTCCTGAACCAGCCGCGAGCTGACACCACTGTTTGCATCCTCCCAACCAACAAACCCCAAATCCCAAGGTCAAACCTGGTACTCAACCTGCTTCACCCCTGCAGCTCTGACGTGGCTGCACATCTGCACATCCTCTCTGGGGGAGCCTGCCCCCTGAGGCATCCCTCCAGCCTCTGAGGCCCTTCTCCAGGTCCTTGTCTGAGTTTTTTTCCTAATCTGGAACTCCTGCTTGCTCCTGACCCTCGGCCGTCATCGCTTCCTCCCAGCATTCTCTCTTCTACTCCTGATCCAACAGGCAGAACTGCTGAAATTACTAATACTTCCTAGTGTACAATCCAGTCCTACTTTCTATTCCCAGCCAGAGCCCAGCATTTCTATTCTCCTGTTTCACCTTTCTTCTTTCCATTCATTCAGTGTTTGCTACGGGCAAGGACTGCTTTATATTTGAAGTGGGAAAATAAGCAACACGTTGTTCCTTCAAAAAGCTCAAAGTCTAGTTGGGGAGACAAGATGCAAACAAGTAACTGTGGTAGAAACTGGAAAATGCTAAAATTTACAAAGGGCTATGCGGACACAGGGCCTATCACTGGTGAGTGGGAGGAGGCGTGCTTCCGGGTTGGGATCTGGAGAATAATCTTCCAGGCTGGCGATGGGGGCAAGTGGAGGAGTTGTGTAAACCAGTCCCAAGGATGGGTCTTTTCTGTCTTTTTTTTTCTTCTGTCCATCATGGGGGAGCTGTGGGGGTTTTAAACCATGGGCTCACTCTGGAGGTTGTGTGGAGAATCAGTCTGACTGTGGAGGGCCGAGAGGCTGGGACGCTAGGAGGGAGGCTGTGGCCACAGCTCAAGAGAGTTGACAAGGGCTTGGGTGTCCTGTTCTAGAATCCTCCCTGCTGGTTCACCAGGGCCCCCAGACACTACCTCCTCCATCAAGTCTGTTCTGGTCAGTCTCTCTCCTAAGTCTTCTGCAACCTCTTGAGAAACCTGCCTCACTGTGTTTGGTACTAGACATATTTGCTAGCTGACCATCTACCCCACTGAAGTATGCCTTTGGTCATAAGCATTTCTTACTACCGAACAAACACACGCCATAGACTATGTGCAGATACAGTTCTAAACGCTGAGCTTGGCAAGAGGTAAATTTTCTTTTCCTTACATCAAGAGCATGCTGGCAGAATTCCATCCCGACCACAGAAAGGTCACCTGCTGCTGCCTGTCTGTGGGGTAGGAATGTTTCCAGCTGTACTGTGTGTGTAAGCGTGTGTCCGTGTTCACGTGCAGACCCACAGGAGTGGGTGGGTGCCCTGGCTGGGCCAGGCTGTGCTGCTGTGGGGTAAGGCAACCTGCAATAGCAGCGTCACCACGCAGTGGGCCAGTGTATGACCACGCCACCATTTCTCTCCTTTTCCGTTCCTGCCTCTTTCCCTGCAACTGCCGGTCTTTCCTTTTATTCTGTATTCTCTTCTTTCTCACCTTTTTCCTTGTCAGGAATGCAAGACCCTTGTAATCTCCAGACCTTGTTACAGGGACTGTCCAGGGCCACCCTCATAGGCAGAGGAGTGCAGGAATGGCAAATGGGGGTCCAGACACCAGGAAAAAGGGAGAAAACCCACTCCAACTCCCTAATGTAGTTCACAGATGCCTGAGATTCCACCTGGAGCCTCTCAGTGGGTAAGCTGAGAAAGGGGTGATGGGCTGAGCATCACCTTCCACAGTGCTGAGACTCAGAGATGCCGCGCCTTTGTCCCCAGTGAGCACAGGCAGAGCAGCTGTGTGATGAGCCACCCTGCTCTGTGGCAGGGGCCTAGCAGGTCTCTCCGAACCATATGCTCACCTCCTGTGCTTGGCACCCACACTGGCAGTGCAGGAGCTCTGGGATCTGCACAGCACCATACTCCACCTGGGGAGGGCAGGAGAAGGGGCTGAAGCCCCCGGCAATGTGCGGGGTAAAGGCAGGCTTCAGAGCCCAAAGACCTTACAACGTGACCGCTCAAGCATGAACATTCAGGGTCGAGGCTGCACCACAAAATAGCTTCTGAGATTAAACATGTTCAAATGTCATTAATCCCAGGATAATGCAGATGTGGCCTCAGCTCAGATAAATCAGTTGAAAACACTCCTTTGTTTACCTCTTCCTGCCTCCATACACAGACAACCTTAATCTCCCGGGGATTTGGCTAAAGACTCTGATATCTCTTCTCCTCTCCAACTGGCAATGAGTTTAAGCTGTCAAGTGTGCCTGGGTTTGCAGCAAACAGCCCAGGAGCATTTCTCACAGGCCAGACACCAGCAATTCCAGGTCTGTGTCTGTGTGAGCGCCTTTGCGGATTGTGGAAGAGCCAGATTCCCCGTGCAGTGCAGCTGCCCTGGGAGGAAGGGTAGCAAGTTTGGTTTGCTGCAGGGCAGATGCAGCAGGACTCCTCTGAAGGCACGGTGCAGAGGGTGCAGGAAGCCGGGACGGCAACAGAGCTCCTCCCGTTTAACTCATAGGAAACCAACTTTGGATCAGAGAAAATAGTTTGATGTCATTTAAGGATAGGATTCCTTCAAAGGAGCAGGTGGTAAGCTTGTTCCTCTCCAGATTCCTCTTTCTCCTTAACACGCCCCCTGCAGTCCAGCATCGATTCTGAAAAGGACCTTGCTCCAGCACTAACTTCTGAGGGCCCCTGTTCTTGGGGTTGGGCTCCACGGGCTGTGCTAACGAAGAATGTTTCCTCCCTGGGGCCAGGGCAACGGAGCTGCTAACGATGTGGCCCTGGGGCCCGCAGAGCTAGTTTAGGGCCTCAGGCTAGTGCTCTTGGGCAAATTCCAGGGCCTCCCTGAGACTCATTTTGGTGTAATATGAAGAAACAGAAGCCTCTACACCTCCCCGTCAGACTGTAAAGATTCCATGAGATAACCCACCGTCTACACCTCCTGCTGTGGTCATGAAGATTTCTTGACATAACCCACTATCTATACTTGCCAGTGCGGTGTGAAGATTCCATGACATAATCCACGACCTATGTCAGTGATTGTGAAGTGAAATAG